ACCACACTTGGATATTATTCTTCTATGACTTTCTTGCTGACATCATCAGAGTAGGCTAGGTACTTCATTTCTGTACTCACAAGGCATTCTAACTCCTGCTGTGATAACTCTGTCACTCTATATAGCAGTGTTTTTTTTTTTTTTAAATAGATGACTCCTTAAAATAAGAGACCTGTGTTTTTCAATAATGAATTCATGGTCGTAACAATCAACCTTTAAAACAGTGCTATGAGGATACAGTGAGATGGGTACTCTTCCAAACTTATTTTTGCACGAAAAATGCATTTGGTGTAATGATAATACTCTTTTTGGGCACCTGTATGACACAAAGCATTACACTAAATGCTTCTCTGTTATTATCTCATTCAGTCATTTCAACACTCTTCAGGAGTAGATATTATTAACATTCATATCATGCAGAGAAAGAAACAGTCTCAGAATCTAAATTACTTGCACAGAGTACAAAGTTTTAAAGTGTTAGAATCAGGAAATGAGCTCAGGTTTACGATACTAAAATTATTTTTGCTCAAAAGCAGTTCTCTATTGTGCAAATTTTCTGGGAAAGCAGTTGAGTCATTCACATCCCACTGAATGCTATGGAACAAGTGTGTGAAGATATATTAACCATAAATGTTCATTTCTTCTGTGCTTTAACTCAGACCAATTTTACTTCTCTCTTTTGATTGTTTTTTTTAAATAAGTGTATATTAGAAAGAATGTTGATACTATGTCTATCTTTTATTTGGGGAGCTAGAAATAAATGTTTTCATTACTCCCTAGTTTGTTTCCCCCTCGCTTACATTATGTGAAACCTATGAGAGAATTAGTAAAGATGGTATGCTGTGAATCATGAACTTGCTAGAATGCTTGCTCCTTCAAAATGAGGAGTGGCCAGTTCCAGCTGCTAGCATGGAGTCATCTCCACTCCAGACAAATGATCAACAGCAGGAATGGGGTACTACACAGACAATGAACTTGAGTTACAGAATTTGTAAAAGCCATTTAGAAAATATATGTTAGTCATTTAATAAGATTGGAAAATCAAATAGAGGCTCTTTGCCAGGATTATATAGAACAGGAAAACATTTTTCAAATTATTCCATGGAGTTCCTCAAAGAGGTTGTCTTTGTAGATGTGGACAAACCAGGTAAATCTGAACAGCAAGCTAGACGCAGTGCAGACTGGAGAATTTACTAAACATGAGACATTATGCTCAATCTGCTTGAGATCTTCTTGTTGCTTCAAGAGCTCATAACAGAGAAAAATGGCATAAAAGTCCAAAAAACCCATAAAATTTTCTCTTTAAAATAAGAGCTAAATGATCTTAATAAAACTAAAGTTAATGAGTTGTATTCTCCTGCCAACACATATAAGATCTTCCCACTGCCATTATTATATTTAAAGCTTCAGATTCACAGTATATTTGGTCCTTTAAGAGCTTCCTCCCAACCGTTCTCACTTCACACCACATTCTCTGTATTCCATTCACACTAAACATTTTATAATTCTTCCAAAATACTACATTTTTATGTATCCTTTCTCTAGACTGAGAATGCCATCCTGTCTAATGACTTTTCACTAATCCTTTAGAACAGAAAACAAATGTAACAGAGGCTTCTGGCTCCTCAGGTTGAGCTAACCGATCTCTTGAGTGCTTCATGAGATACTCACAGGGGCGCCTATCAATCTCTGGCTGAACTCACTGCTGCTAAACTTATCTTTACGGGTTTTCATCATAGCCCACGGTTACTTCGTGAGTGAGTGGTTCTGCTTTGAGGTGTCAAATGTCTTCTCTGTACTTTCCCCTGAGCTATCCATAAAAGGATAGAATTAAATAAACATGTATTTATTAAATATTTCCTAAGTGCCAAACACTGGCTCAGTGCTATACATATAATGGAGGAGGAAATAGAAGCTTCTTGACCTTCTGAGATCTGTATTCTGTGGAGGGATACAAAGCACAGATGTCACACATATGAGATAGTTAAAGCTTGTGATGAGTGAAGAAATGGAAGACGTTCAGGTTCATGAAGAAGAATAGAGGAGATGGTGGGGAAAGGGCTTTAATGAAGAGGTTGAGGAAAAGTCTCTGTGGCCACAATAAACATGAGCTGAGAAAGATGAGCTGGCAGTTGAGGAGTGTAAAATAATGTCTGTGCCTAAGGAAGAACGACTTGTGTCTTGAGGTGGGAACAAGCCTGGTGTGATCTGCAAAGAGCAGGACGCTGTGGGCTTTCATGGAGTGAGCAGAGAGGCACTGACCTTGGATGAGTGGACAGAGAGATCCGATGGACAACATAAAGCCAAGTTTACTAGAATCAAGGGCATCATTTTACTCTGCATTCAGTAGGATTGAGTGGACAGTTTTAAGCCAGGAATTACGATTGAATTTGCAATGTATTACAATTTATGTTGTGAGCCATATTTCCTCTGTGCATTTTAAATAATCCTGTGTATCAGCAGGTTGTGGTGGTGCACGCTTGCAATCTCAGCACTCATGTGACTGAGGCAGTAGAATCACTGTAAGTTCCAGGCCAGCCTGACCTACATAGTGAGCCCTTATCTCTAAAATGACAACAATAATTCTGTATATTAATCTGGACCACTTCCTCACTGATTTACTTGTTATTTCATTCTCCTTTCCACTGGAGGGCTCCAGAGATTGCCATGTGTACACAACCTAGTTTCCCAGCACCTTCAGGGGCAGCGTCTGCCTTTCTCCAATAGCTAGCTATGTTTAAGATAGTAACACTGACAAGAGAATATGGACAACTGAATAGATAAAAGATTATACACAACCAGCTTTTGGAGCCAGCTCTGCATTTTGACAGACTGCAAATGATACAGAAGTATGAATCACTTTTTCTATAAAATGTATGCCAAGCCTCTACATAAGCACATGCATTAGGACTGATTAGTAGTTTTTTTAAAAAACAAGTGACTGAATCAGCATAGGGATGGTGTACAGTGTAGATCCTAGAATAATGAGGGCCTACTTGATAGCCTGCTTATTGAAATGGCAATCTTAACAGTTGCCAGTCTCTGAGTGTTTGCTCTGGGCTGCCTAGCACCAAGTTAAGTACCATATATATATATATATTTATAATTTAATCCTGCACCAATCTCTATCAGAGCTGATAGAGATGACCATTATTTCCTTTACCAAAACTGGAAAACTGGAGCTTATGACCTGTAAGTGATGTTACCAACACTTCAGAGATGTCAAGTGGAAGTGTTAGTGTTTGGTGAAAGGCCACCTGACTCCAAAGACCTCTCTGCCAACCAGAATACCAAACTTAGGAAGTTTACAGAGATTTCTGTTCTAGTCTCAGCTCCTGTCCATGCAGTTTCAGTTTGATTATTAATAACTTGTATCATTACACCCTCAGGGTGAAAAGATACTAATGCAGATCCAACGAATCTGTGGCATACCTCCAATGCCATGAGTATGCTATCAGATGATTTTTTTTTTTAACCAGGTGCCCGATTTGGGGCTTAGGAATAAAACCTTCTACTGAAAACAAATTCCTTAAAAATTCACCCCCCCCTGAACTTTGTTACCTTTACAATTTTTTCCAAAGTGTACATTCAGTGCTAATTGACAGCATCTAACCCTTTCCAGCTAGGTTCTGCATAAAGAAATGGGAATAAAGGTGCTACGGAGAATGCAGAGATGCTTCTACCCAGCCTTGACACTAACTCACTGTCCAGCTTGGGAAATCCCTTCCTCTGGACCTCAAAAAACAACTGGGTTAGCTGGAGTTAAAGGTTATCCTGCATTTTAAATTGTTACAGAGGAAGGTAGCCCTTCGCTGAGAGGAGAGAAAGAAGAGGCAAAGGTTAGATGGAAATACAATGTTAGATACTAAATATGAATAGAATGGGACCCCTGTGTGGCTCTTGATGCAAAGTGACTGCCAACACTTCAACAATTTCAGCTGATACTTAAGGTACATCAAGAGCCACCTTAGAGTCTGCGTTAACAGGGATGAATAATGCCAACAGAGTTCCTGCCCTCTGTGGAAGTTCACATCTAAACAGAGTAAAAGCAGGAGTCTGCAAACAGTGACAGACACATTGTGTTTGACCTATACGTTTTTAACGTTTAAAAAAATGCTAATGTGCGAAGATCATGAGAGATTTAACGTCAAAGTTCGATTTATTTATTATTTTAAAGAGAAAAAACACAGGAAAAAAAAAGAGACAAATAAACAACTGCAAAAACAAACAACCCCCCACCCAAACCAGTAACAATATGGGCTTTCAAAACAAGATGGTAGGAATTTAACATTGGTTGTTATATTGCATATGGTTATCTTCAGATGTTGCTTAGATTACCAGATATAGACATGCAAAGTTGATGAACTGTATGAGTATTAATTATCCTTTTCCATGAACTAATAGTATCAGTAGTATAATCCTCTTAGCCATCTTATGTATATATATACACAAATTTATATTTTTTTCCTTTTCCCTTTCTTTTTTCCTCTCCCCCATCCCAGCCGTTCCTCCCCCTGAGCAGTCTCCTACTCTTTCACAGTATCTATTGTATGAAGATCTTGGATCTTATTTACTTTTTCAGTTTCTTACACTAGGGAGACAATATGGTATTTACACGTGAGTCCGATTTATTTCACTTATGAGTATGATCTCGAGTCGCATCCACTTCCTATAAAAGCCTCAAACTCTCTATTTAAAAATCTGATTACAGGACAGCCAGGAGCCGGCTAGAGGCTGTTCCCACCCAGTCCCCACCAGGACCGCAGGATCCCTGCTCCCCAGAGCCAGCTGCCCGCCGTGCGCACCCTGGCGGTGCCAAAAGCAACCTTTTGTGACGCTCGCTCTGGGCCAAAGAGCGCGCAACTCTTGGGTGAGAGGGAAAACCTAAGTCCTTGGAGCGCGTGGATTCCGGTAAGTGAGGCAAAGGAAACTGTCCCCGCCCCACTTCCAGGCGGGACGCAAGAAGACGCGTGGAAAAGTTGGGGGCCGCGAGCCAGGAGCACTGGGTCCCCCAAACGTTCTCTCCCTCCACTGATTGCAAGGCACGCTGGTCCCGAAGTCCCCGTCCCTGCCTCCGCGAGCCCAGCAGCAAAGGGAGAAAATCTCCAGGAGCAGAGTCCCTAAGTGGTCTTCCCCGTCGGAACCTGTAAAACCCTCCGAGATCCGGGGGACCCTACCTGTCACCCCCACTTCCACCCTCTGCCCCACCCCGTCCCTCCCCCACGGCAGCCTGGCCGCGTCTTTTGGAGGGGTCACTGCAGGGGAGCCCCGCCCCTCCCCGCTCGGCTCGGCTCGGCCCGGCCCAGCCCCGGAGGCGCCCGGGGTCCCCGCGCGCTCTCGGAACCGCCCACGGCCGTCGCTGCGCTGCCCGGCTGGCGTCCGGCTTCCGCGCGCTCGGGACGCTCGGAGGGCGCCGCCTGGGGACGCCGCCGGCTGCTCTGCACCCTCCTCCTGCTCTCCCCGCCCGGCCGCCGCCCCCCGGGGAGCTGCGCCCGCGGCGCTGGACCGACCGGAGCCCGCAGCTCAGCCAGGCCGGGCAGCCGCGCGCTCCAGGCCGCGGGCGGGCCGCACAGGTAGGTGCTTCCTCGGTCCCTTGAGCTCGCCCTGCGCGCCGCGGAGTTGTGTGGCCCGGGACGGAGCATCGCTCTGAGCTCCGGTGCCCCGGTGGAGGGAGGACTGGGCCGGGGGAAGCAGTGGCCTTTACTGCGTGCCAGCGCGCTGTTGGGAAGCCTGGAAGTTAAAAATGAGCAGAAGTGAAACAAAGGCAAGCAGTGGGGATAACACAGCCAGATCGTCCTGATACTCTGGTACCCTGCTTGGTCCCCCAGACAGACATCAGTAAGTATCTGCTGGGTGGAGTAAACGGAAGTGTTTCTCAATCCAGCTTTAAAACAAGCAAAAAACTGTTTTTAATGGTTGGCTTTGTGTCTACCAGAATCTCCTCGTCATCCCCTGCCCTAGGGCTAAAGTGAAATAGTTTTACTTAGAAAATAAAATGTGTTGTATTCATACAGTGGAGTGCTATGCTGCACTTAAAAAGCAGAGATGAGAGCTGTAAATAGGAATATACTTATACTCCGACCTCAGAAACACGATGGTAAAAGAGCCCGGCAAGGTGCGGAATATACCGAATTAATGATGTCATATTTTATTTTATTTATATTTAGATGTCTCATTAAAAAACCCTTTGCTATGTGTGTAAAAATGTTGGCAGTGGAGTGTAAAATGCACATCTGGCTGGTGATGGTGGGTATCTTTGCCAGTAGGAAAGAGGAATCAATTTCACAAGAGCACCAACGTGAAACGATGTTTTCCTATCGTTTATCATTCAGGTATCTAAAAATGGTGACGCCAAGTTGAATAGTACAAAGTTATTAACTGAGAGTGTTTAACTTGGGTGTTTTCATATTTTCCTTCCTTCCTGTGTTTCTGAATGTTTGTATGCAACACAATGCAAGTTGTTTTTCAAATGCCGAAATCTTTCATGCATGTACATATTGTGACAAAGTAATGTAAACATGTTTACGGGAAGTCCCAGCCTTTCTGCATTACACCCTGTGTTCTCCAAGTCTAAAGATGTTTGCTCTGGACCTGGGGTCCTCAGTTGCTGGGAAAGGTCACCTCCTGACAGGTTAAAGGTTAAGTTTAAGATCAGAGGACTTGCCAGCAATTGAGCAATGTGATCATTGCCTAGGTGAAGGTCGAATCTGAGAGGTTCTATGTTCCTGCAAGGAAAACCTTCTATTCCTTTTATATTTTCTGTGCTTTGGATTTTCATTTCCAAGCATGGAGACTGTTCTCATAACCCTTATCTATTGCTGTGAATTTAGAATCAGGATATCAGAAAGCAGAGAGTAATTGGCAAAGGAGAATAATACAGTTCTTCTGGGCTGTATTCAGCAAAATTGAAAGAATATGTCTTCATTTTCATGCTACAAAAAGGTTTATTTCTTTCTGGATGTGGGAACATATTCTCTAATTTGCTTATCCAAATAGAGGCAAAAAGAGAAAGGCAGTTGTAGACTGGATTACATGTGTTGGGGGCAGTGGATCAGATACCATTCCATCCGCTGGATCTTTCCACCTGCCTGCCCTCTCCTAAGGGGATTCCCTTTTATATATTTTCTTTATTTCACTGATCCATAGTGAACACAGAACGAAACTCTGAAATGCGGCAAATTATGATGGTGTTCCTCTCTTTCTCCTTCTGATTTGACAACTTGCAAGGTCAATGCTTGTGACATTTTGTCTTGCAAGAAGAAAGAATGCATGAGAAAAGGCTAAGAGGTGAAGAACAATACAAGAAAGCTACATGTACTCAGGTGTTGGTAGCGCAAGTCTGCAGTGTTCACAAGCACGATTCCTTACAATTACTTTTTCCTTTAGGACTACTCCTCCTTTTCTAGTACTATCAGTGTTTATGTCTTTACACTATTCTCCATTGTTTCTAGATTGTAAATGTCGTCATAAAACAAAAGGTCCTCTTCTTCTTATCCGTCAGCAAAACGTAAGGGCATCCACTTGCTTCGTAGTTTCCATTTCTGCTGGAGTTCAAGCCTTTTGAGTTTTCAGCCTGGGAAGATGGTTGGGTGTTCCGGCTGCCTTCATCTCAGCAATCCCGTGGGGCTTGCTTTGGCCACCTGTTTCCACCTGCCCGGCCCCTCCCCTCTCCTGGCAGTTTAATTGGTTGCTTCCTAATTGCTGACTTTTTCTTTGCTCCATTTAATGATTCTTTTTAAAGTCCATAAGGCACTTTGCCAGCAGTTGGCTTTCAGTATGAAAAATCGCATTTCCTTAATGAGTCTGCCTTCCAGATGAAAATTTTATTTACATTTTGCTAATGGGAAAGTGAGCTTTTCTTCTACCTTTTCACAGGGGTTTCCCAAGAGTTTTTTTTTTTTTTTTCCTAGTCATCTAATAACCCATGCTAACTTGGACACTTTCTGCAATTCTGCCTGCAGTCTATATTTCCTTCAGGTATAAATCCACGAAGAACAAGATAAATAACAGGTGTCAGTAATTAAAAATTATACACAGTGAGAAAATAGTGCTATTATAAAAAATAGCAGTAGCTAACATTAATTCTGTGCATGTTATGTACCAGGCATTGTGTTACTTGTCCCATTAGCTGTATCCATGAGCCACGTTTGTCCTAAGTGGCATAGCTGAGCTGAACTTTAAAATATTATTATATAAAAGTTAGAACCCCATCCTTGTCATAGACCTGAAGAGTTAATGTCATAGACCTGAAAGACTGATGCTTGGCAGTGATCTCTTGATCTTAGAGTAGTTACCTCCTTTGATAAGGCCAGTGTCCCCATTGACTAATGCCATGTACTAGGTCTGGATCATCTACTTGCATGGACTCCCTGACACAGGCATCTGATCTTGGGATTTCTGAGGGAGACACTGTTGTGCTTGAGACCAGCGGTTAAGAAACTGTTCCAAGCCACGATCAATGTCAGTTTAGGACTGGAACCCAGGCTGCTATTTCTCTGTGCCAATTTCAGGGGAAATAAGAATTTTTAACATTATATTTTAAAGGGGAACAAAGCCACTTAAGCAATTTTATCTCTCAGATTCATCATTTACTTTGGGCATTACAGTGCTCAACAATTATTGAGCACTTACGCTGTGAAAATGCTTTCTGGGTTAAATGTATGTGTGTCTAGCTACATTTGTGTAACTGCATAAAGACATATTTGTGTAATATACATATAAATACAATATGATATAAGGAGTAATGTCATATATAAATACACGTATACATTTATAGAGTTAAATATACTGTATTTGTGTCACATTAAACTCTTCTTTGGGTAGAACCATTATTATCTCCAAGTTGAGGGGAAGGAAAAATAGAAATATCTAGAGAAATGTACCTACTTGCTGGAATGGTGGATCCCTCTCCAGAACTCTGCTTATAACAGTCTGGTACCTTCTGGGGCAGAGATGAAGGGCATGGCATATACAAAGGCGGGTCAAAATATATGGCAAGTTTTTAAAATAAAGACAAATTATTACAGTCAAAGATACACTGCCATTTATTCCCCTTCACAATACTCCCCCTGACTTTGAATACATCTCCTAATCTTGCCACTTTCCGAAACAGTGCTGGAAGTTCTCTTTTGTGAAACTTTATGTGGTATGTTTAAAACACAAAATGCAGTGCATGATGCTGCCAGTAACGGGAAGCCAGGCTCGCAGAAACATCGTGGCATGGCCTCGCCCATCTTACTCAGGCTCTCTGTCAAAATCAAAAGGACCAGGAAAATTTAATATTTTTAATTCATTTAGGACATCAAGGCAGTCACAGCAGTCCAACAAGGACAGGAAAGAGAACCTTGAGAACTACTTCCGAGAGAAAGCAAACAGTGGGAAAGTGTGTTCCAAGTGAGGAGGTGCATTTTGAGTGGGATTCATGGCAATGTGCCTTTTACTGTAATTTTTTAAAAAATTAAACATTCATTGGTTTTACCACACATTTATACTTCTATGGATGTAGAAATTAAAATTGTTGGTCACACAACAAAAAATAAAATCTAAAATTAGCTCTTTTCTCAAATATGTAAAAATGTAATATTTTAATTTTCTTGTTAAATTAAGCATTGTTGATCTCATAAATTTTCTTCATACTTAGAAAAGTAATCTACTTCTCTCCTGCTTTGTAAGTAGAGGTCTGCTACTGAAGAAATGGTTTGTTCTGTTATTGCTTGATGTGTTACTAGTTCTGAAATCATAATTGTCAAGAGCAGAAATTTCTATGTCTGCGATACAGATTAGGCTAATATTTCAGCCATAGTCTGTATTCAGGGCATCTAGAGTATGCCACATAAGGATGCAGTTTCTTTTTTCTTTCCTAGATACCCAGCAAGTTTTCTGGACTTGTTTTGAGCAAAGATGAATGCTTCTGCAAGAATAATGTAACTGGAGGGTCCAGGTCAGGACAGACTTGATCATGGGCGCCAGCACTTCAAGCAAACAGCCAGTGTTTGATGAAAATGAGGATGGTAAGAAACGGGGCCAGTGACATTTAAAATGGAGTATTATGAAATTCAATTACAAGCTTTTAGTTTTGTAAGTACAGTGCAAGAACGATCTATAGGGCCTTTTAAGAAAAAATTAGAAGCAGGAGAATAAGCTCGAGGACTTTGTAGGCTGGACTGCTTCTTTCACTTTCTTAATCTCAATTCTACCAGATTTCTTTTGTTTGAACGGTGATGTAACCGGGTACATGGTGGAAAGTTAATGATTTGTTTACTCTCTATGCTGTTCCCTTGACAGTTGAATCTTTACTCCATTGCTACTTGTTATAGAAAGTTTCTTACAGTATCAAATTACATATGAGTGATAATCAGTAGTCAACATGTTAATGGCATCAAGTTATATAAGGTTGGTGCCTTGTATAATTTCCAAATACTGTGCTTCTGTGATCTAATTTTGTATTGTTAGATCATGTGGGAAAGAGTCAGTTTTTTTGAATAAAAGGAAAATAGAAGGCCAGGTTCAGCCTGACAAGAAAGCCAAGGCATTGTCCTCCCAACGCAACTGCCATCCTCCAGTGAAGTGTGCTGCGACCTCTCTGGCCTCCCCAAGTGACATTTGCTTCCTATGGTGAGAGTGTGAGCAGCCTTGCAGTGTGGAGGTTAGGTACTGATTTAGGTTGTCTAGAAAAAAGAAGGCCACAGATTCTGGGTAATAAGTTGTTTAGAACTCCAAAAAGGAGCCTCCTGAATAATTTCCAAAAGTTCTGCCAATTGGACCACGAAAAGAGAAGAATGAACTGTAGTACAAGAGATCTAATACCAGTCCTGTTAAGGCTGTGTGTGAGGCTCAAAATGCTCAATCATTTTACCTTCAAATTGCTCATCTGAAAAGTAAGGAGATAAGGTAATCTTGAAGGTCTCTTCCAACTCAGAAAGTTTATCATTTTGAGGTTTTAAGTTCACTGTCTAAAATTACAAAACAGCTTCTGAGTCATCAAGGAAAGTTTATTGCATTAGAATGTAAGTTTGAATGTTGACACAGAAATCACAAGTAACAGTGACCTACACAAGATGGTTGTACTTTTCTTTTTCATGTAGCTGTCCAGACATAAGTCATCTAGGATAGTCAGTGGTCCCAAAAGCCTAGGGACTGCGGCATTGAGTGGCTTGCTTTTTTGTGTCTTCTCCCTTCTCTAGAGAGGCCTCCTGCCTCAGGGGTGCTCATTACCTTACCCAAATGCCAGCCACTGAGGAAGGAGTTGGGGAGCTGTATCCATTCTTTGAAGCATTTGCCCTGTCTTGTCACAACCATTCACATGCACATACCTAGTTACAAAAGAGACTAGAAAGTTTAGTTTTTTATCTTGGGTGACCATGAACTTTATAAAAATAAATTCTCTTTATTAGAGATAATTAGCAGTTTGGCATGTTTGGGAAATAACTAAAATTGCTGTGGTAGAAGAACATACTCTTGGTTTTGTTTTTTTTGGTCTTTTTCCTTTTTATCGGTAACGGGGATCGAACTCACGACTGCCTGCTTGCAAGGCAGGTGCTTATGCTGCTGAGCTAAATCCGCAGCCCCCGTACTCTTAGTTTGGAATATTTGGATAGAGGCAATTAGAGGCAGAATGTATGACTGATCAGGATGATTTGTGTTAAGGTATCTACAATCAAATTAGCCGTCTGTTCTTATTACCTGTATAAAATACACCCTGTGAAATTACAGAGCTGGCAAGATCCAAAGAAAAACTTTTCCGTCGCTAATTTTGCTGTCTTGGTTTATTTCATCAAGTAGTAAAATAGTAAAAGCAAGGATCTAGAAAAGTGATATTATATGAGTTTCCCATTGCTAAAAATGGAAAGACAAGCTGACTTGCTTTTCATTCATTTGTCTCCATGTACTTGTGTAGATTCTGAATTAATTTTGCATTAGGCAGGTCTTCCTAGGCAGCTTGGGAAAGAGTGACCAGCTGCAGGTTTGTAATTTGCTAGGGACAGATGTCATTTGATGGTGCTACCGTAGCATTATCATTAGAAACACTTTATAGCTGCCTTCAAAGGAATCTGAAACAAACACAACAAAACAAAACAGAAACTAGATTGGAGGAGAGTTAGATTTTAAAACAAGCAGGTATTTCTTTTTTTTTTTTTTTTTAAGCAGGTATTTCTTTACATCCTCTAGTTTCCTTGCTTAGGTTGTTTAACTCCCAACCTAATGAGAAAACCTATTATAATTTCCATAAAAGGGAAAGGTAAACATAGCCATAAATCTGTGCTTCCCAGGAACAAGACTTGCAGTCCCCTTACATACACACTTGCAAAGCAGAAGACATAGAAAAGCAAACCCACCTCTCATGAGCCTGCTGTTTTGCTGGACAGGAAGGATAGAGACAGAAACAATGTAGTCATTGCTCTGTGCTTGTGAAACCCATGTTGCAGTTTTGAAGACACACAGTAAAGAAATAACCGAATAGGTAAACAAGGAGACTTCAGAGTATGCTAAAATGCCACCAAGGACAGGACTCAATGCTGTACTGGAGAGGAACAGAGGGATGGTTGGGCTTTCCAGGGAGATGGTATTTGAGCTGAAGCCTGCAGAATCAGAAGCTGGCTATGCAATAAGATGAGGAGAATAGTTCAAGCACAGGAAGAAACGAATAACCACAAGGTCGGGAAAAACAGTTTCCTATTTCATAACCTTCTCTGATGAATGTGATTTGTTAAAGGAACTGACTTTAGTTTCCGTATTAACTTGTTTATAAGATCCTTGAATTTTAAAGAGGAAAAGTATGCCACTTTGGAAGACTTACTGTATCATTTAGTTAATCATGTAAAGTTTGCTGTGGACAGAGCACAATGTAAAACTTTACCAAGCTGAATGTAAAATTGAGCTGTGAAGTATCTGATGGGGCCAGGGGACAGAAAGTCCTGACTAAGCAAAGAACACAAAGCCTATATCATTTTTGTTGTTCATTTTTTTTGCATAAATAATAAAACTGGGCCAGAATCTAGGGCACTAAAATGAGCCAAATTAATTACTTTTAAAACATTGCAATAAAAGAACCCCAACACATGATGAGAAGTGTTTTGTGCGCCCTCCAAGTTGTTTGATAATCCTAGTACGTAGATTTGAGAAGAAAATTTAACCAATTTTTCTAAGCACTATTTCAAGAATTTTGTCTTATGGAGAAAATAGTTTTGATCATTTTGAAGGTCATTAAGGATTAAGATAAGGTATTATTGTAGGTCCCTTGAGACAAGCTATTCTTTTTAGAGTTCATCCTGACGTGTATATCCTTCTGTTCCGTCTGGTTCCTGACCTTGAGAGCCATTCTGACAGTTACTCATGTTGATCTTCAGTGAAAACCAAGTGTGGAGATTTTAGTGCTGGTGCATAGAGTAAGCTTTGCTTCTCTAGATACTTTTAAATCAACTATTACCAATCAGAACTCAAGTGATACTTTTGTAGTTGGAACTTTTAATGTTAGTACAAAACCGTTTATTTCTTTGATTATGGTAAAATCTGTATGATAAAATGTACCATTTTAAATCCATTTCTGTGGTATTGAGTAGGTTCATATTATTATACATCCATCATCATCACCCATTCCTAGAGCATTTTCATCCTCCTAAATTGAAATTTACACTCACTAAATCATAACGTTTCCCACTCTCCACTATTCATCACTCAGAGCAACCACTGTTTGACTCTATATCTCTGTGAATTTGATAATTCTAAACCTTACGTAAACAGAGTCATAAAATTTGTCCTTTTCTTCATTTGGCATATTGTCAAGATTCGCACATGTTGTGTTGTGTGTTCAAATTACTTTTTGAGGCTAAATAATAACCCATTGTATGCATATACCATATTTCGTTATCTTTTTATCAGTTCAAAATAATTGTTTCTAGTCTTTGGTTACTATGAATCAGGCTGCTGTAAATTTTGGCAAACAAATATCTACTGAAATCCCAGTTTTTAGTTCTTATAGTAGGTAGCCAAATGTAGAATTACTGAGTTATATAGTAATTTGTGTTTAATTTTTTGAATAGCCACTATACTGCTTTTTGCGTAATCACATTCTAATCTTCTAATAATGGGAGAAGAATGGGCTGAGAGTGTGAGCTCTCTTAGTAGGAAGACAGACCCATGATCAAATCTCTGCTATGCCACATATTATTGATCTGTATATTCTTATGAAAAAACTCAAAGAGGAAGTAGCTTTATCAATGATCATCAGACACTAGGGGCCATTTGACTAATTGTGAATTGTTCTAAAGGGACCTGAAATACGATTTTAAAAGTCTCCAAACGTAAACAATTATTAGTGAATTAATTTGAAACAAAAACCTATGTTGGGCAAGTTATTAAATCTTTATAAGCCTCCATTTTTTTCATCCATAAAATACAAATAGTAATTGAAACATACTTCATTAAGTAATTGTGATGGTTAAAATAGTGGAAATAATTCACTTAGCAAGGTGTCTTATGTAAAGTAACTACCATATTAGTGCTAATTAATATATTAGTGCTTATAAATATATAAGCATCAGAATTTCTTAGTGTGAACTCTAAAGTATTTTCACTTCTGAAAAAAACAGAATTGGTTAAATGCAACTCAGTAGATGCCATAGTCAATATGACCTACATATGAGTCACAGAAGAGCAAATTCTATGGATTCTGCCAAAAACCTATAGATTTCTCGGGAAGAATTAGGTTCTTGAACTGAGGTACCTCTGTACAAACCCCTTTTCAAGAAGTCAGGTTACTGACAGCACAAAAACAGTGTCTTTTTTGGTTTTTCTTTTATCTCACTTGTTGATTGTGTATCATTTAAGACAAAACTAAAGATAAAAATCAATGATTTGTAGGTAAATGGATGGATTTTGAGACCATACTCATAAGTGAAATAAATCAGACTCACCTGTGTAAATATATTGTCTCCTCAGTGGAAAAAACTGAAAAGAGTAAATAAGATCCAAAATGTACAATAAATATTATGGAAATGAGAGGAAAATAAAG